AAATAAATAAATAAATAAAAAGAATCGAGTGAGAGAGACAGAGAGAGTCCCGTCAAAGTCAGCATGTTGTTTTCAGCTTTCAGATGTTCAGCTGTGTGGGTGCAGGTTGTGTGCTGCTGAAAAAGACACATTGGTTTCTAGGTAACAGGCAGGAGAAGACAGTCTACCTTCGTTTTCTTTGCTTCCTTTTAGCCGAGAGGGAACAACATTGTTGCTGCTCTGCCCTCAGCCCATCTCTTTGTTGATGCAAGGCTAATTAGTTATTCTTTTTCTACACACGGCAAACTCCACAAGAATCGCGGTAAAGTACCGACTTGGATGTTTCTTTTATTTTAAATCAGATTGGTTGTTTTCATTTTGTTTCCAGGTTTAATACTTTTTAATACTAGTATCTGACTAGTTAATTAATATAGAGCTACTTAACCAGCATATGGAACATACAGCCATGAAATTTGTCCATACTTAACCTTAACCCACAGGTTATTATGGCTTTAAGCAAAGGGTAGGCAGTAGGCAGAGAGACAGACATAGTAATATAATACGAATATGGTAATTACTAGGGTAATTTTTGTGTGTGTTCACGTTTGTTTGATTATCTAAAATGAGTTGAGGATCTGTAAGTGTGGCAAATTTGCAAAAAAAAAACTTTACACTGCACTGATGGGTAAAGTGCAGAAATAAAGTACTATTTGAAAAGCTTGAGTGTCATAAGTAAATGACAGTTTTCGCAAAGGTGGGCTTACCTACCTTGACATGACCCTTGCCAATGTCAAACTTTAGGTGAGCATCATAGATGTGACTGCAAATTTAAAGGACTTTGTGGTAGCAACTTGTCACTCAGAAAACAGCACCCACAGACACAGTGCTTCTCTCTAAGCCGTAAATGGTAAGGTGAACATCAAGCTTTACTGAGATTTGAAATTCATAATTGAGACTACAGCAGAGGACCAGAGACATGAGTGCGAGTTTAAGGCAATTCATTATTAACTTCACTTTGAAGAGTGAGATGATGATATATCCACCATTTATTTTTCCAGAAAAAAACTGTTTAATGAAGATTTGATCCATTACTGTATGAGGAATATTGAGTGAACTGCATGTCAAGCAAAAGGCTTGTTTTACAGTGTTGAATAGCATCTTTCATACACACATAAACCATCAGTTTTCTTCTAGCTTTCAGATGACCACAAAATTACAGACAAGTTTTTACTGATGTGTTTTGGTAATTTGAGTCATATGGTGGTGGTACTGTTAATTTCGGTCGAGAATGAAAAGTCCTAACTTTTTCCA